AGGGAAAGGGGAAATTAGTGTAGGGACCATCAGTGCCCAAGTCTCTGTGTCGCTGTGTTGGAGTGAGGGATGATCTGTCTCCTGCTGGTAGCTCTACGGTATATGCCGACAGCCATTTCAATGCATTTCCCTTTCCATTTTCAAGACGGATTGTAAAATAAGTGGAAAGTGCACATCAGTGTCACTAGGACATTTTCCTCTTCTCCTGCATCAGTTATACAATCAAAAAACAGTTCCTGATGGAAGTAAACATCCTGGCATCCTTTTTCAGGCAATTGGCCTTTCCTTGCCTCTTTTGATGTCTGGATGATAAAGCTCTTTTAGCGAAAATCATCTGCATCAGACTGTGGCATCAGTGGATAAATCAGACAAGAAGAGCTAGGTGGCTGCAAAAAGAAAACACTGTGATTTCAAAACAGAACTGGTAATCAGCAGTGATAAAATGGAAATAACCCACCAATATTATGGGCTGCTCCTTTTTAACATTTCTCTTGCAATTGGCTTTGTCTGTTTACCCCTGAGATAGCAGGGGTAAACAGAGATCAAAGGAACATAAGCTGGAGTTAGCAGATGTATTTTATCCCCAGAATGCAAATCTCTTTTCTGTCTCTCCTTTTCAGAGGGCGGATGTGGCTGTGGCACCATTAACCATCACTCTGGTTCGAGAAGAAGTTATAGACTTTTCCAAACCGTTCATGAGCTTAGGTATCTCTATCATGATAAAAAAACCTCAGAAGTCCAAACCAGGAGTTTTTTCCTTTCTGGATCCTTTGGCTTACGAGATATGGATGTGCATTGTTTTCGCCTACATTGGAGTGAGCGTTGTCCTCTTCCTGGTGAGTCGCTTCAGCCCTTACGAGTGGCACACTGAGGAATTTGAAGAAGGACGAGACCAGCCAGCCAATGACCAGACGAATGAGTTTGGGATATTCAACAGTCTCTGGTTCTCCCTGGGAGCTTTCATGCAGCAAGGATGTGATATTTCTCCAAGGTGGGTTGCCTTCCCCAATGAACCTTTTTCCAGTTCATGTGATTTAATCTTTCTGCATGCTTTGGAGCTGAACAGGTTCTTCTTTGACCTTCCTTCCTGAACCATAGTGTAGTTCTCTGAATCAGTTACAGATTCAGAAAGGATCCAAGGGTTCACAGATCTCACACCCATGAACTTGGGACCTCAAACTTGGGACCATAAAAATACCATTCTAAATTTATGCTGGGGAGTTCTTTTGAGGGAATTTACAGAAATGCAAACAAGATGTTCTGAAGCCACACATTTGCAATTGATTTTTGTCAGTCATTTTTTTTGTTGCGGTTAGAAAAAAGGTCATTCTAGCATTACAAGGAAGCTATAAAATTCCAGTAAAGTAAGGAGAAATAATACAGTAGTTGCCCAGTGAAAGGTTATATGGTCTGTGCCAAAGATCATGGAGCACACTGAGTGGCTTTAAGTATTATTGGCATTTAGAAAGGTCAGAGAAGTACCAAGTTTTCCTTCTGGTTCCCATTTCAGTCAATAGTTCTGCTGCCTGAAAGTTCAGTAGGACCCAAAGTCCAAAGGGTTCCTAAAGGGACTTTTGGTAGAGACATTTATTCTCTGTATAAATTAATGACTCTTGTGATTACTTTTAGATAATTTTTCTTGGAAAAGCTAGCACAATATAAGGTGGCTGAAAAACTGCATGAGATGCAGAAGATGTAAACCTGTGATAGAGACACAAGCAGAGACTTATTTTTAAATAATGTCTGGGAATACCTCCTGCATTTTTGAGAGCTGTATTCCCACAAGTCTTATGACAGAGATTTTGCCTACTGCAGGAGCCCGTGATACACATATCTTCTCAACGCCTTGTTCATACAAAGGCATTCAAAAATAAAAGAAGAATTAAAAGCATAGGAACTAAATAGCTGCAAGCATGACTCTGATAGATTTTCTTATTTATTTGCACAAGTTGTATGTCCAGTAAGTAATGTCTGTAATAGCTGAGGGATCTTTCTTGTGGTATGTGTATATTCACGTGAGGCAGGACCACAGGTGAGCCAGGGATGAGGTTTTTGACACCTCCAGTGTTCTGTGTCCAGGGCAGAGGTACTTAGGTTTGTGAGGCTGAAAAAGGGTTAATGAGCTGTGGCTTGGGATGTGGATCATATGTACCCATCATTCCCAAGAGGTCTGCTCTGGATGTTGGTTGGAGGTTGGTTGGTTGGTTGGTTGGTTGGTTGGTTGGTTGGTAGGTTGGTTGGTTGGAGAGCATGTGGACAGGACAAACACCAAAGCCATCAGACATGGCAGGATACTGCTGTCATTCACCCTCTCCACAGCTGCAAGAGGCACAATGTGTCTGCACCGCTCACACACACCTGGGTTTTACATGCAAGCTCATTGGACCAGGAAAGTTGCTTGTCCCAGTTTAGACTAAGAACATTTTTCGACAGGTTTGACTCAAACCAGAGGTACTGCCAGTCACGAGAATGAATTTATAGGCAGTATATGCATTTTCTGCATTTACATGCCATGGTGACAGCTGAAGTGATGCTCTGATAAAAGCAGATGGCCTTTTTCTTTTTTCCCCATCCTTCCTTTTTTGGGCTTTGCCTCCCTTCTCTTCAAGAGAAATTTCAGCAGAGATACGTGTCTTGTGGGTGAACACAGTAGGCAGAAGTTAATTTCCCGCATGCTGGGATGGCATCAAAGCTCAGGGGACGAGAAGGAGGCACAACTCCATTGGCAAGCAGAGATAACACTGCGCAGCTCAGCACAGCTCCCGCGGGATGGCGGGGGGAGGCCAGGCACCAGATTGTTGGCTATTGGATAGCAGTTTGTCCAAATATTAATGAGCTTGGGATAGCGGGGAAATAAGAGCCTGTAGGGCACTTTGATAGTGACAGCTTTTATGAATATGTTTTACCATCTGATCATTGATTAGTAGGAGCCCAGCCGGAGCACTCAGAAAGTCTTCCCAGCAGAGGGAATTTCAACTTTACCGCTGTCTTGTAACACAGCCCTGTGCGTTAAGATCAGGTTATTTCCATTTTCATTCTCATTGTTGTTCTTGTCATCATTATTCTTATTTAGGAAAGAGAATGTCTTCCTTTGGGGACTTTTCAACAGCCAGTTTGAGTTCCAAGGAGGAACGTGGAGAGGTGAAAAGCTGAGACTTTGCAGAATAGCAAATTTTGAAACATCTGTAATAAAAAGTGTTGGGGGAAGATCAGTGGTTTTGATCCAAATAACAAGATTTACTCTAGCTAAACATGCTTTGAATCACCATTTCAAAGCGTTGTTTTATTTTGCTTTGAAATGGGAAATGAAAATTATTCTGTCATTGTTATTTTAATGTTGTTAATTTGATCATCCTGATAATGAAAATTACAATTTCATTGAAACCAATATTTTCCCATAGAGCATAAGAGTACTTTCTGACTATAAATATTTGCAAGAAGAGAAAATTTGAAAAACAGAATATTGGAATTATTATAGCTCCCAGTCTTCTGAGTACAGCTCCTTGTGATGGTTGCAAGTGGAGGGGGACATTTCTGTGAAATGTGAAAGCAAGGAGGATGCAGAAGAGTGAGAATTTCTGTAGGATGTTGTTGTACAGAAAGGCTCTGAGTGCGCTCCATATTTCACATGTATTTTTCACACGAACCTAGTGCAGGATTTCTGTGACACATCACTTAGAAATGAATGCTTGGTAGAACGACATTGTGGGCAGGTGGGGATCTGCTCTATTCCAATATATTTCCTATACGGTTGCTTCTAAACTTATCACTACAATCTCTCAGCATCTCCCCAGTAATGTATTAACCAACATAAATAGCTCCTGTTATGCATCTGTTCTGTCATTCTCTCCCCAGCAGAAAGGAGCAAGTGCAGGGGTGTATTTTGTTTTTGTAGAGGTTTTGGTTTGTTTATTTCAGTTTTGTTTTGGAAAGGAGTAGGGGAAATTTGTCTGGAGGGTTTTTTTTTTCCAGAGCATGTTTGTTTTAAGTGCATATGCCACTATGTATTTATCAGAAAAAAAAAGTAAGATCAAAACTGCAGACACATCACTCAGAACAGCGGGTGGTGAGGTTTGCAGCAGCTGCACAACCTACCAAGCACTTTAAAGATACACTGTGAATTTGATGACCTGTGGATGGCCAAGACAGAGCGTAGCTGTGGGTTATGTGCTCATAGCTTCTTCTCCCAAGGTGTGAGGCTGCTGGGCATGAGGTCAACTGGTGTCCTTGAAGCTCTGAAGCCTTCATATCTAAGCATAGACTGGATGACTGTGAAAAGACCAGGCAGTAACCAGTCATGGAGAGTCCCAGCCGTAGCTGGTGGCAGTCTGTGTTGTGCCTTTGGATGCTGCAGCATGAGCATGAGCAAGAAAACCATCCCTCCTAAGCCATGAATGGAATGATTCCATTGTACATAGCTTCAACCAAAGGAGGCTGTGAGCTCTTGGACATTTCCCACTGGAGTGTGTCATCTCCCTTCTGCACCATCACTGACCAGTGGTCCCACTGGATGTGGTTCAGTCACTACCGTGTGGACTAATTTGTCCTGGTTGAGGTGAGACGGTGCCTGCCATTGCCCTTAAAGTCTGTGCTTTCAAAGTGTTAGCTGATACACAGCAGAAAGGGGTAGAAACAACATTTTGGAGTTGTGAGTAGTTTCATGTACATAGTAATGGGCAGAAATCAGTGAAGTCTGAAACGGGCCATAAATGATTAGGCTTTGCAAAGTGCCACCTTAACTTCAGAAAACAGTCATGAAACTGCAAAAGCACTCATTAAATGTGAAATACAGACCTAGAAAGGAGATTCTTAGAGCAGGCATCAGAGGTAATAAATATCCTGCAGCCAATAGCGAGAGCCTGCAGCAAGAGAAAGGTGAAGTAAATATGATTCACATTGTACCATTTTTCAGAAATGTACCATTTTTCAGAAATGTAATTTGATAAATTGTCTTCAGAGCTTAAAATAACCCCAGTGCGCAGCAGCTGTGGAGAGTGGGACCTCGCTAACATTCAGCATGTTGCTGCCATTCCTCACTCACGATGGACCCAAGGCCATTGTGAACGAGACTGAGGGGACGTCTGGGCTTCCCAACCTCCTCTGCAGCAAAACGAAGTATCTGAATTTTTCATCTGCCCCATTATTTTCTACAAAATAAATTATTTGATTGTTGTGAAAAGGATAAAAAAGCAGGGAGTAAAATACATATTTTTGTTGTCAGCTTCCTAGCTTGATCTTCTATTTTTTGTTATCTCAAAATATGTTGCTTCATATGGTTTGAGCCCAAAAGAGACTTCCTGTATATTGGAAACTATTAAATTTAATCCAGTTACTCTTCCTGTGACTCAGAAAACTTATGTTTGACTAAAATTAAATACATTTGGCTAAAATATATCTTCCAGAAAGGCATATATTCTTCCTGTGAAGGTACCATGAGATAGAATATACACAGTTTCTCTCGTCTGAGTGACTATAGGAGTCTTGTCCCCACTGGAGTTTGACAGGAGGATGAATATCACACAGTATCACCCAGTAAATGCAGCCATCCTCTGTGCCCTGCCAGAGGAAAATTAAAGAGACATCTTCAAAAATAAACCCAGCTTCATGGGGGCTCTCTTTATACTGTGCCGTGGAAACAAAACATACGTATTTTGGATTCAGATCAAAACATACCATAAGTAGAAGGGAGATGTATAGTCATACCATGACATGATAGGATATCATGTCACGATACCTGGACAGCACAGCTTGAAATTGCTCATTATAATCTGCATGACTGGGAACAGATCTGGAGATGCCCTGGTCAGCCTGCGCTGGAAGTGAAATGATGAATGAAGCTTTCGTCACAGCCTGGGTCTGGGAGAGAGCCAGACTTGAGAGGGGAGGTTTCGAGAGCATCAGCAGGGATGCATGAGCAGGAAGAGTTGCTGTGCCGGCTGGTCTGTGCAAGGTGCCGTAAGGGAGCACTGCTGGGCCATACCAGCGTGCCCT